CTATTATGGCTATTGAAGTGTTTTCTCATTTTCTTTTGCACTAATTTGTTAATTAGAAAGACATTAACAAAAATAATAGTTAAATTAGATTTATTTGTTTTAGTTTTTATGAATAAGGGAGTGTGTGTTTATTTGTGTATAAGTGTGGGAGTATCAATACTGGCTGTTGACACTAAGGTTTTTTAGAATATGTATTGTGTTTAAATTTGTACTGTGTCACTCTTTCATAAAACGTGTTTTGTGTTTTATCACTAAATTGAATATTTTATATTACAAATACATATATGTTTTACTACTCACTACATACACATTCTGCTGTTATGACTGTTTCGATTTCAAGGATTACATATGGAATATAAAAAAGAGAGATATTTTAGTCTTCGGGAACGGCAACAAATGGGGACACTATACACATAATGTCATTCATGTCTATAGACACCATTTTCCAGTAACTATGATGTTTGCTATTCCATACAGCCTTAAATATATTTAAAATTAGCAATCAAGTATCTTTAGAGCAAAGAGTTTATTCTAATATATATAATACAAGTGAGACTCAAATATATATATATATATATATATATATATATATATATATATATATATATATATATATATATATATATATATATATATATATATATATATATATATATATATATTATTGTTGATATTACTTTAGTATACTTTTTTGTAGTGCCGGCACAGTATAATATTAAAGTTCTGACATCATTTTCAACAATAATATTTTCAAACAATTCATTTTATTTTATATATCCTATGTACTAATTTACTATGATCAAGAATATATATCGTTTGATGTTATAATGAATAAATGATTAGCCACGTCGTGGGAATCCGTCGACTCTTAACAAGTGGGCCAAGTTTTGGTAACTTCTAATTGATAGTCTCATTATAGTTACGGTGGACTTGGTCATGGCAACTTTGAAGCGATATACATCGTCGCTTGTCAATTAATCGTTAATTCATGTTGTTTAACGCAACCTGTTATATACTGTTAAATTATAGAGCAGCTCTAGATGAAGTACACAAATTTGCACTTACGAGTATCTAACCATATAGATTTGAGCATTTTCTATGAATAAGTAAATGAGTATCCTTTATGTGAGTTATACAACATACGAAATAAAGCAAAACAGTAATAATTGGAATGAGATACCGTTATAAACAAAACACAGAAGTGTGAGCAAGATCGGAAATACTTTTTTGTCTTTCTCTGAGTACGCTTTTATTTTTTGAATGGCAAAACTTATTTGCCACGTCAAAAGAATTGTTTACATTACCCGTTCAAATTAAGTAGCTATGTCAATATTATATGTTGCGAATAAAGAGTAACATTTTTTTTAATATTTCTTTGCTCAATGACGTCATTCTATTGTTATTTCGTAATGTATACACTCATAGCATATCTATGATATTTTCTTGTACTATCAATTCCATTGATCATTGTAAAAATTGGTACCTATTTCGAAATCAAGAAATCATGATAAAGCACTTTATTTCTGAAACACCAAACATCCAACTGGGCGGTGTTTTCTTTTATTTCAGACGAGCGACTTTGTGGTGCAATATAAAGTGGAATGAAATACGTTTTACAATTCGTTTTATCGCATTCGTAAAATGTCGGAATAGATGTCTTTACGTCTACAACTGTGTGATTGTGGGGTCCTATTCCGTTTTACTTAGCACTCGTAAAAGGCATATGCGAAATTACTAGTCGTTAGTATTTTACTGCTAAATATACAATGACAAAATGTCATGTTGAATGCCCGTTTATACAAGCGTCCATAAAATTTCACTTTCATTCTTGACTACAGCTTTCGCTCTTCTGAATGTTTCATGGTTGTATTATAAATCCGCTCGTTTTTACTTTTTTCTTATGAATTAACTTAGTTAACTATAACAAAAACATATTTATTTTTGTGAACTTACTAACAAACTTATAAGTTCTTCCTATAATTAATTATTATTACGCATAATAGCTTCAGCTTTACTCGAGTAGTAACTTGAGGTTTGCCTTATAGTTTAACGGTTATACTGTGGTTGAATATGTTAGAATAATTAACAGATAGGAGTATAGTATATACAATACATACAACCATAGCTGATAATTTAACCGCAATTAATGCAAGCACGTACCGACGTGCAGTATTAAAATTGTGATAGATGCTGACTTTTATTTCTGCAACATTGTTTGTGTGATAGTCTAAATTAAACGTCTAAATTCACCAGAGGGAGACTTTGTACAAAAGTCGATTGCTTGGGCACCTCTGTCCCATTCGTGTTTCTACTGTAAAGCAGTTGTGTTTGCATAGCTCTGTTTCGATTTGAAAGGTGGGATATGGCGTGAATTTACAGGGTACAGAGGAATAACATCTGAGTTCTCAGGAATGGCAACGCATGGGGGGTATCATGGGCGTAACAGTATATTCTGTTAAGTCCATGGTACTGCTCATGTCTATAGGCGACGGATACCACTTTCCATCAGGTGGGCCGTCAGCTTGTGTAAGTTGTATAAAAAAAACCTAATTCATAAAAAAAAAACAATTGTTCATTACTAACACAGTCTAAAGAATTTTTCGTAAACGTGTTTCATTAATAGTAAGATATCTGTTTTTTACGAGACTTCATACAACTGTATTTTATTTGTCTCACAGTACGTTCAACTACAACTTTTTATGTTATACCAGAATATAAAATTTTATTAAAACATATCCAGCTATTTTCTCATAATGATTGACAGGAAAAAGGATAAAAGGCAGGAAGAAGAAGAATAAAATTGACAGAACAGACACTAATTCTCGTAATGACTTATTCGTATTCCGTAGCTTATGTTTTTGCCTTTCTAAAAAAAGCAGTTAATCAGTCAGCAACACCTAATATTATTGATATATTTTTTTTTTGTGTGTATAATACGACAACTGCATCTAAACATATAAAAAATACTTCTTTGAGTGTTACGTACATGTACACCGACTCTTGAGACTTATATATATATATTATATATATATATAATATCATATATATTTATTTATTTATATATACAAATATATATAATATAATATGTAGTTAGTATATATATTACTCATCTTGGCTCGTACACTAGTTCCAGAGACTGCATAAAATCTAATTGTAAAATATACCATGACGCAGGTAGCATCCTTCCAGTTCTATAATGTATATTTATTATATCTAATATTCTTTGGACATTTCAATTCCAAACTATCATATCAAAACCTTTTCCATTTAAAACAATGTACTCTAGCACTTCTGTATAATTAACTCGGCATGCTAACCTTCTTAATTTCTCTGCGGTATGCGCATTTCAACCGCAAATGATTAAATCGTTAATAAACACAATATATATTAATTCCGAAATTACCTAATTCAATTACATTGAAATGAATAGAATTATATTATAATGTAAAGTTAACAGGGTAAAGAGACGTCAACTAGATGATTAAACTTAACATTTTCAAGATAGATTATCTGTGATGTGTGTGACAACTGGCAACTTCATTTCCTTTGTATAAAAGCCTACAGAAATGACATTTCTTTCAACTGATATGACCAGTGATACGATTTTAGAATTTTAATTCATATTAAACATTTTAAGGGATGCTTTATAGGCGAAATGCTATTAACTGAGGAAAAAATTAGGTTTTTCCCCAAAACCAATAACATTGACAGATTTAATTAAATTAAATTCACATTTATATATTTACATTCAATAATATTAATGAACGTTTTTGTCTATCATTTGTAGTTCAAATTAATAATTCTACCACTTTCGTTACATTACTGTTAAAATTATACTGTATTCGTTTCCTTTATAAAAAAAAAATATTTAATTTAAATGAAATACTGATATAAGTACTATATATATTTCTTAAATATATGTAGCGAATTTATAAGTACTTTATTTATTTACTTATATATCAAAGTATATAAATCCTGTACTTTAGGCACACATCGAGTGCTAAAATTCTGATCTACTTATAATTCGATAGTGTTAAAAAAAAATTAAAACGAGTATGAAAACCATTCTTTTCATTTTAAAATTTATATTGAAACGGCTTAAATATAAATTTGAAATGAATAGCGATATGATTGATTCGATAGTGCAACATATCGATAACATAACAAAGTCGAACAAGACTTCGAATTGGTAATTAAAAATAAAAAGCATAGTTCCAAGTAAAATTACAAGTTGCAGGATTTCCACGACCTTCAAGGTAAAGCAATGCTGCATTGCGGTTCAGTACTGCTCACGCTATTGTTTAACTGCAAACTCAAAGAGTCTATATATAATGTCTTACCAACCTTGGTGTATCAGATAAGATTTGTTTAAAAAGCCCTTCAAATCATAAAAAGCCTTCCTTGTAGCGTGTGAGGCCACAATACTTTCTAACAACGAATATTCCAAGTTTAAAGAAGTATGTACTTCATATTTAAGGTTCGGTGATAGTATCGGAAATATATAGCAATATTTTTATTAATTGACCAAATTATTAGTATACAGAGACTTTTGTTTTGAAATAAAATATCCACATAACATAATATTAAATCTTTTTGTTTTGTATGTGAATAAAAAATATATGTATAAAAAAAATGAAAAGCATTACATTACCCAGCGAATACCTACTTTTCTTAAATAATTAATTGTACTAATTTTAAATGCTCCGATATAAATACACTCATTTATGTAAAAAAGTATTAATTAAAATTCTCATTTCTGTATAATTAAATTATCTCATAAAGAACAAAGACAAAATCAACTTAATGACAATTTTATTGAACACTGCCAGGCTTTCAATTCACGTGAAACTTTGCGAGTGTTTGAAAATTAAGTTATATTAAGAGAAATTTTCACGATGGCCCAAATCGTTTGAGATTTTGAAACTGAAGAGAAATTTAAATTTTACAAGTTTGAAGGAAATGATTTTGTGAGAGAAAAAAGGAGAGTTTAATATAATTACCGAACATGCGGATGGAGCTGAATGTGCACAAGTTCCTCCCGCAGTCGCTGCCGCCAACGCACTGCTTCCTGGCACCTGGTGAAACATAAAGCAAGTATTACATGTACTTTCTGAAATAATTTAGTAAAAAAATAAATTACCATTCATGTAACTAACTACATGAATGATAATAAATTATTACCATTTATTACATCATTACATGAAATCAAATCACTAAGATTCAGATAAAGAGCTTCAGATGGGAACTTAATATTGAAGTTATACCTACTGAATGCACAAATTACCTAATAGACACGGATACTAAAAGGTAAATAAATAATTACAGGTAGAGGTCTAAGTCTACGCGAGTAATATGTAACTACAAGAATATATTTCGTAGCTATAGTATCCAAATACGAGTACAAGAATGTTTTAGTACACGAGGATGAAATACAGGATGAAATTTTTGTTTGGGGTTGTTAGGATATAGTAGCAATTCTGGGTTTAAACAATAACACACCATATCGTAATCCTAAAGCGACGTTGGTACATGAGGACACTGTTCCACCTGTCAAATATATATTTACTATGGAAAATGTGTTATTTAATGAACAGAAATTCATTGTTATTTGATTCGTTTAAATTATTACTAAACCTATTCACATTAGTTTTTACTGACCGATTCTTTTCGTTGAATTGAGCATTGCAATTTATATAATTAAGTTTAAAAATATTTTTATTTTAATCAATTCGATTAACTTATTAATATCGAGGTCTTTCCTAGAGGGTGTTGCGGGCGTCCATAAACTGCAGCAACCGTTTACCATCAGACGGGCTACATGTTTGTTTTTTAACTTTGTGATATAAAAAATATATCAATATAATTAATATTTATAAAATCAAAACCACTTTATTTAATTGTATATTTTCATGGTTAAATGATTATATCAGATATGCTTTGCATGCAATGTATTACTAGCAACCTGATTGTACCTAGTTCAAAGTAATTACATCTATGTTTATTTGATTCGAATATTTTCATTAAACTCTCATAGAAATTATTTTATGAAAATATATGTTTAAAGATGTAGGAAAATGATCATATATTCAAATACCTATGTATTTTAAATAAATCCTTGTATCTGCATAGTACGTTTTTAAATTTTAAATTAAATTTTATTACTTTTGCAATTTTTATCCATTTAATTTTAAATATTATATTGATCTTTTTTTATTCAATAAGACATTCTCCAAAAATATACTTTATACATATATACTTTAAAAAATATTCTACATTATAGTTAAACCAGTATACGTTATATTTAGTTGTATTTAAATTGAACTTACTTTCAGCTGCTCTTGTTTGTAATCCGGTTGATATGGCAGAAGCATCCGGATTTTGCCCCATCGATTGAAGAAGAGTGCTATCGCTCCGATCCACACTATCAGCACTAACACTACGATCCCTATCTCCACTCCTCGTATCTAAAGAATATTAAACGACAATAAATATCATACACAAATAATATAGCGATATAAACATATATATTTAATATATAATAAAATCACTATCCGCATTTATCTGTTACTCCGATTACTTCTAAATAATATTTAAATGCCATTTACATATTTTTTACGAAATCTTTGTATGTATAATTTGCATCCCTACATCGGTTTCTTTTAGTCCTCTACGCTAGCAATTTATCAACAGGTATGTAATATATAAATATACAATATTTTATATTTTTAGACAATTTTATTTACTTTATCGATGCAACAATGACATAAATTTCTTCACAAATATACACACGTTTTACTCTATAAGTGCTATTTTTATCCATTGATTTACGGAGCTTTCGTAGAGCATATATAAACCTATTTAGTTTGGTATTTATATTATATATACTACACATAATAATGTGAGATTTTTGGTGGGTATGAACCCACCAAAAATCTCACATTGTTGTGTGTAGTTTTAATAATGTATAACAATTTTATATTATTTAATAACAACCAATAGTTCAATGTATAATTATGTATAATAGTTTCAATAGTTGTTATTATGATAAGTAAACTGTTTAAACTGCAATCTAACTCCCAATAAGAATTCAACTTTTATGTTTCTTAAATTAATTAAATAATTGCTCTCTTGCAAATTAAAGATAAGTATTATTCTCTGATGAAATAGAAATAAACGTTCTTGTTTACTTAAAAAGAACTCAGTTGGCGTTTCGTCCTCTTAAAATTATTTTAAAAGTACTCAACTTCCCTATTCAATATTACTCGGTCCTCGATTTCTTTATTTCCAGTCTCGACAGTAATGTCCTATTTCAATTCTCAATACTTTTGTACTGTCGGTAAACAAGCTAATAGTATACCTGATAAAAGTGGTGTAATAGAATAAAAATACCTAATGAAGTACGAAAGATTTTGTCATAACAGCACAACTTGCTCGAATATTTGAATTTCCCAACTAGAGAAAATCTCCGCTTTACGGAAAACCACATTTAAATAATGCTTTGTGACGTTGTGTTCTTGCGGTAAGTAAAGCTTAAGCCAAAAGTCTAGAGTGAAGGGATCAGGGTCGAGAGTACACATATCCTGTTACCCTATATATTACACATTTATATATTTTACTTAGGATCTGGCAAGTCATACAGCCTCAATGGTCGCATACAGCGCGGTTTCAGAGATGTTTCCTCCCACGAACACTCAGGTTATGGAATGAGCTCCCTGCCGAGGTTTTCCCAAGAGCCTACAGCATGGGGTTCTTCAAAAGGGGGGTAAAGAGGTTTCTTTAGGGTCGGCAACGCACGCGTAATACTTCTGGTATTGCAGGTGTTCATAGGCTGCGGTAACCACTTACCATCAGGTGGGTCGTATGCTTGTTTGCCACCTCAGTGGTATATATAAATATAAATCTTAATGGCTTCAAATTTTGTATTTTACAAAGGTTGACTGGGAGAGAATATTATACAACATTAAGTCCTTCTTTTGTACCAAATTTTTTTTTAATATTGTCAACGAAACAAAGTAGAGCGAAGGCTATAAAACTGAGGTAGGCGAAAGCTTAGATAGTCTTAAAGAAAACTTGAAAAGAATTTGTACAAATAGCTAGAAGCAGAAAGTAAGTAATAAGTCGACCATTAAAAAGTCAGTTGAAAAATACTTGCGCAGGTCTTTTACCTTAAATTATAATGATGAATTAAGTGAGATAATAATTTACTCAAAATTATTTAAGAAAGTGTATTTTAATTTTTGAAATGTCGACTAAACTAAATATTGTATTAACCACTTTTCTTTATCATTTTCGACTTAAAAATTTTTTTCGTCAATACCATAGAGTAAAACCGAAAGGTTTATAAAGTATTCAACTAATGAAAATAAACATTTTTCTCAAACAGAGAGAAGAAACATCGAAAAGCTGTGAAAATGTTGAGTCTTTCATGCTATAAAAAATGTTGAACCTCTCAAGAGGATGCACTGTTTTTTTAGATTTTTTTTTTTGTTTTTCGGTGTAAAATAGAAAAATGTTTAATTATATTGGTGATACACTTCCCTTAAAGAACACTGATGTTAAACTTTATCCTTTATTCAATAATATATAACTAAAGTATTTATTTTTAACAATTCTCACGATTAAATTCGTGAGTCATTAAATTCAATTAGTTTTGTGTTCGTAAAGCAGATTAAATGTTAAAATTGTTCAATCACACGACGCGTGATTTAATCTGCGGTTTACGACAGTTAATACATTCTGATTATAATTTCGTATATTCAGTAATAATATATTTAGTGCTATAATAATAAATAAAATATTATATTATTACACTCATACGAGTGCCTATATTAGTTATAATTTGCAGTATTTCTCTTTTTTTTTTGGCGGATGTTTATAATTTTCTTTCTAATTTTATCTTTGTCTCTTATCAAAATTATTAAATACATACTATTGCATGTAATATAGGGTTCCATTGAGATATATTTTTGTTAATCTGAACCTAATTTTAAATGTTATAATAACATAATCTCAACTAAATAATGAAATTAATCAATTAAAATAAATATAAAGCATTAATGAAAAAGTATTTTACAAACCATTAGGTATCTACATTTACATTCGAATCAAATTACTGTTAAAGTTAACTAACTAATTTTTGTTTAACTCTATTTAAGATTGTAGAAACTAATTATAAATTTGACTTCAGAAAATTTAATTTAAGAATGCGTAAAAATTTTACCTACTGTATTTAATAAAATTGAGTGTAACAAAAATTCAAATTTCAAATTCAGCTATCAGGAGGCAAAATTTTAACTTAATATTTAAGATTATCTATTTTATTTAAGATTGACAAATAAAGTTTGCGATTAAAAAAAAGTTTAAAAAAATTAGGAGTTAAATACTACCGTTGGGAATGTAGGTGAGGGATCTGGTGGTGCGACTGAGGATCGGGGCGTAGCACCCACTAGTCCCCCGTCCTGCTGCGGCGACGTCCGCGGAGGCTCTGTTGACAATGTGCAAATATTAAATGAATTAAGTTTTAAGATGTGTTAACTACTAGCAATTCAAGGAAAACCTTCCAACCGTCAAATCGAAATACAGTCACACAAACACAACTGCTTAACGGTAGAAACACGAATGGGACAAAGGTGCCTAAACAAACAACTTTTGTACAAAGTCTCTCTCTGGTGATTAAATATGCAATAACAATATAAATTTTATACAATACAGTGCCATAATATATTCCTTGATTCACTATTCCTTAAAAGTACTAGTTCAAGATTTAGTAACAACAAAATATTATATACATTGTTTTGTTAAATGAAACTCGATAAATCGTGTATTTATATGATTATAAAAATAAAACAACTTCACATTTTTCCACACAAAAATTCTATTACAGTATTAAGTTACCAAAAAAACTCAGCCATTATTTGTCGCTTACCCTTTTTCCGACCTTTTAAACAGTTTCTAGCTCAAATCCCTCCCGAGAATTCATAAATCGATGTTCGTCGTTGATATTTTATTACTTTTTTACTGTTCTGTTGTTTTTCACATTTATATTTTTATCAATTAAAATTTTTATTTTATAGGACAAAATAATACTGATATTTATTTTTCATGCAACACCATCTCTTCATTTCAGCCATTAACAGTCCACAGCTGAACATAAGCCATCCCCATAAAACGGAGTTTTGCCAGTAGTTGCCACGCTTAACAGGCAGGTTGGCAACCGCAGTAAGGATTTTAGAGATGTTTTAAGAGAGACGCTGCTACCCAACCCTCTACTATTAAGTTCCCTTAGTCACCTTTTACGACACCTACAGGAAAGAAAGGGGTAACCTATGCCAGAACCAACGGAACGTTGATTGCATATTTTGAAGAAAAAAATTAGGCAAATTTTTTTACATTATATTTATGATAAAAAAAAATGCGCGTTATTTATAAAACTCGATAAAACTGTCTTTTTTAAGTTTAATAAAAGTTTTATGTTCGGCAGTTAGGTAATTTTTTATTCATATCCACTGAGATCTCTGATATTTCTTGAACGATTCACGTATTTTTTTACTTTGTAAAGGAAACTCCAAAATTGCTCCCATAAAAAATTCACTACTTTTATACAGTTTTTAACCTACTTTTTAAGAAATATGGATCGAAATACCATATATAATTTAGAATCTCCCATACGAAGTTGACAACTCTACGTTAGTAAGTATGAAAGGTTCGAATTTTTTTGTTGTTTTTCGACCTATATTTCTTTGAGAGAAAACATTCAATTTCACTAATAATTCAATTCCTAAGACTTCTCATTAATTCCTATAAATTGAAAATATTACATTTTATAATATACAAATATATTAAGCTGTATAAAGCAGCTTAATATATTTATATAATAAAAATAAAAAATGTAATATTATCAATTTACAACAATCAAAAAAACATAAAAAGTAGCTATATTATATAATAAAAGTATTATAATACAATTGAGATGACTAGATTATTTACTGACAAGTGCCAGTAAATTTTATCCTCCTCCTTATAAGCATAAAAATTCCAGAGCTAGAAAACGCTACCCTTTCGTCCATTGTACATAAGAACAAAGACTCTTTATTAATTCTTATGCTTTGTACAAGTATTATATGCTAACTTTAGAGCATTATTTTTATACATTAAAAGAAACCAAAGAAATCTATCCATATTTCCATAACAGATTAACTAGTTACTGTATGGAAATGTTTTGAGTAACACGATTAAGTAATCCTTTAATAAACAGCTACTTCATTAAACAATACGAATTTAGACTAAACAGCGACCGTACTCAAACAAATACTAAAGCTAAATGCCAACTCCAAATTTAGAAATCGGTCAGAGCTCTCGAGATGTGCAATTGGATCGGCTATGAGAGAATATTCGGGTTCGTCGAATGATAAAGCGAAAATTAGTTCGAAGTTTTGCCCGTCTCAGTGCGTTTTAATTAATTCCGAACAAATTTTGTTGTTCTAGTATCTGTAATGTTTACCAAAACTTGATAATTACAAATCTTTGAAGTTACTTGACGTAACAAGGAGATGACTTTTAGCTGTAGTCAAGATTTAAATTCATTTTCATATTATAAATTTCGTTAATTTACGAGTAAAACGTTTTAGAAGAAAAAGTTTAACTTTTTATTTTCAAATAATTTTCTGAATATAAAATGTATTTTTTTTTAATTATGTCAAAAAAATATACAGTTAAAATATAAATTAATAACCTATTTGTAAGGGAATATTCTACGGGTAAAGCTAAACTTTTAAGTCTCTCAGCAAATTGCATAGGTACTAACAATCATGTCCTTCTATGAAATTCGATTAGAAAGTTTTATATTTTAGTTGTTTTTAGACTCTGTAACAGTTTCAGTAGTAGAAAATTCACCTACACTTTTTAATTTATTTTATTTAACATATTTTTTATGTTAATTTTACAACTGATATATCTTCTGTTAAAATATTACATAAAATTGTTTCCTACTAATGTCACAATAAAGGTAAATTGTATATAAATGCAAATGTACGAAATCTAGGTTAGTGAATGTACTACGAATCTTGGGATTGTACTCTATCTCTCCAATTTACGAAAATTTTTCGTCTATACAAAGTTACTTTGGATAATCCTTTTCTCAAAAAAGTATGTTTATTACATCTTATATTTTCAATAAGATTTGTGATTTTTATCTCTACTAAGAATTTTTTAAAGATCTTTTAATAAAAATTAAAAAGAATATGATAAAAAAATGATGATTTCTTGTAATTGTTTGTATCTATAATAAGTTTACTTTTATAATCTTTTGAAGGAAACAATAAAGAGTATCTATCGATCTTAATACTACTAGTCGTTTTGCAACTCTGACAATTCGTTTAATTCTGATACTAAACATATCAATGTTATAAGGTTTTATACTTCTAAGAGCAATATAACATCACCGATTAGTTTTTACGGTATAAATATATTATATAAATATATATATATATATATATATATATATATATATATATATATATATATATATATATATATATATATATTGTATAAAAAAAAGGATCATTAAATTACTGAACTGATTTTAATATTTTTTTTATAATATTAAACTGTATTTTCAGATAAAAAAAAATCTCGACTAATTTGATATTATATATATCCATTTATATATATTATATATATCCATTTAGATAAAAAAAGTCCAGATTGATTTAGAACTGACGGAGTTGTGAAGTAACAAATATAAAACATAATGCAACCAAATTGAAAACCTTTTTTTTTTTGGAATCGGTTGAAAAATAGGATATCATTTTATAAACTCAGAATAACACCTCTGCAGTCGTACACGCCGTCATGCTGATGCGCAGTGCACCCGGAAGATCAAAGAGAATTGGAGCCCTGCCAACGTTCACGCTAAAATGAATTCGCGTTCCCTTTTTTTGACGGAATTGATTGATGTATTGAAAGAATTGGCAACTTAGGGCTAAACACACGTAACGCATTAACATTGAACAGGAATACGAGTCGATGTATCAAGTCTAATGACAGAGTTCGATAGCTAATAGGAAATACTTAGAAAACGGTACCTAATCGATAAAGGCTAAAAGTTTGTTTTGTTAAAAGGTTTCAAGAATTTCAATACAGAAGATTTACAAACCATTGGAATTTTATGAAACATGGCTAGGAAATTAAATTAGTACTTATGGTAGTGTTATTGTCCTAACTATTGCTTCTATCTAATAACAATGTATGGTTTAACTGATAAAATAGTGTGTTTCTAATGCAATGATAAATACGCAAATTTGTATAGATTTTTGTATAAATGGATGTTTGTTACTATTTTACACAAAAACTACTAAAAGAATTTGAATGAATTACTTATTCATACACATAAGTTATATCCTAACCTAAAACATAGAATATATATTGATTCATGCAGACGAAGCCGCAGGATATAGTTAGCATTAAAAAATTTGTAAGTTTGTTTTAATTTTTTTCTCTTGACGCTTTAACTGCTCAACCAATCATCATAATTTTTGGTATATAAATACTATTTGGAGTGTAAAAGAGCATAGAATTATTTATTACAGTCGGTGATCAAGTGGTGATGAATGAGAGACAAAAAGTTGATATATATACTCGAATAATAAAAATAATAAGAACATTCTGTAAGTTACTCTTCATCATATCAGCCATTAACTCGACCCATTCTATGCCGGAGCCACACGATATGATATAATATATCTCGAATAAATCAGTAATTTTTCAATAATTATGTTACATGAATTAGGTATAAAATGATTTATTTGTTTAAAATAACTGTTTATATAATTATATGGGGATATAAGTATATAAACAGTTATTGAACATTAATTAAATACCTAATATATTTAAAAATATAGAATTGAAACTAACTAATTGTTTTTACCGTGAAGCAGCTGTGCTTACATAGCTGTGTTTCGGATTGAAAGGTGGGATTTGGCAGTTAATTTACAGAGTACAGAGGAATAACATCTGAGTCCTCAGGAATGTCAACGCATGGATGGTATCATGGGCGAAACAGTATACTCTGTTATGTCCATGATACTGCTCATGTCTATAGGCGACGGTTACCACTTTCCATCAGGTGGGCCGTCAGCTTGTTTACCATTCTAAGTTGTATAAAAAAAAACTATTATAAAGTGTACGAAGTTGAGGTTTCATATAAAAATAAAAATTTAATTGGTCAAAATGATAATAATATCTTCGATAATATTTGGTTCAAGTATAAGTATATAGGTACATGTAAAGGAAACTCGCCTTTGTTATTTTACGGGCTCTCACCCAGATCATCTTTATGATTGAGTTAATAGCAATTTCACTCACAAAAGTCTATTAAAACCTCATAATTAAATTAAGTGAACACAATCTTGTAAGAGATTATTATTTTAAATTATTATAATTAAGATACTTAATTAAAAATTTTGCAAGTTAAATAATTTGTGCAAATAAAATAAGATTTTAATTATTTTATATTAAGCTTTTAATCGTAAATAAATTAGATTAAATGAAAATATAATTATTTACAAGAAACTATACGTTTTCTAATATTTTTTTATTCAGTCACACTTGAAACAACTTGATGTATTTCAATTTAATACATAGTTTATAATTATTATAAATAAATATATACATTTATACATATACATATATATAAAAATCTTTGTGCTAAAACGTAAAAAAATCCCGGTTCATACTTATGATTTGTTATCATTTGACATAGGTATAATCGTTAAAAATATAGCTATGTCAAATAAATAAATAATAATAATAAATATTCCTTATTCAAGTAAACTTAATAATAAGCATTTTTAATATCAACTTCTTTATGAATTTACCGCCCAGTTCGGAATGCAATTTCAGCTCAGAAGAACGGGCGAGAGACACATTCGATGATTTTTTTTAATAAAATTTACTATACGTACCTTCAATTTCTTGCCATATTTTTTGTGTATTTTCATTTGAAACTTTTAAATTAAGAACACTCATATCGAAGTGTGAACTCGAAGGTTGCGAATTACTTGTTAATTTAAAAAAAATAATAATTGAAGTTATCAATATATCTATTTGATTACATCGATCATAGAGCACGTCACACTCATAAATGTACCTGACATCTACTTTTTTATTTATTTTGGTTCTGAAGTTCTCTAATCCTTTTTGCTATCAAAATCCAAGTTTTAGTAGCTAAAACAATAAATTATAGCATGATTAACATTTTAATTAGCTATCAGAAGTTTTTTAAATATTTGATCTATAAGAAATATTGAAAAGTCTTCAATTGTTTTTCAAACTAATACATAATTCCTACATTACTATACGATAAGGTGCGAATGTTCTGTAAACCGCCATGGACTAAAGGATATGCGTATAATGTAGTGAAGTCCGGAACTTAGTGGCATCTATGTCCCATATTATAAATACAAGTGTCCCACTTTTGGAACAGCTTTCCCTTTGTTTTATTCAACACTCAGTGTGACAGGGACGGCGTAAAACACGCAAGTTGAACACGCAACAGGTACCTATTTATATAGCACTGTAAACTTTAAACCCTATTACAAAATGTCAAACAGAGGTCATATACTGTATATGTAATTTTGTCATTATTAATATTGTTGGAAAGTTTATTGCATTATTTAATTAATTAAATTTTGTTATTTTCGCTAAATATTATAACAAAAATTAATTTAATTTTAGATGTTTTGTAGTTTTTTCTATATTATATTGAAAAAACTTGGTTTCAGTACGGCGAATTATATAAGAAGATACTCTTTCGCAGCAACCAAAAAAAAAAAAAAAAAATTTAATATATATATATATATATATATATATATATATATATATATATATATATATATATATATATATATATATATGTACTCGCAAAATAATAATTCCTAATAGCTTCATTACAATCGTATTTATTATTGGATCATGCTGTGTGCACATGTTATGGCAAGTTTACCTAAACAATACATCCCCGTGGGTGTTGTATGAATCAACAAAGGGAAGGCGTAGGATGGGCAGCAGCGTCCCTCTTAAAACATCTCTGCCAAGCGTGGCAACCACTGGCAAAACCTCCCAAGGGGGAAGTTTATGTTCCGCAGTGACAGTTAAAGGCTGATATGATGATGATGATTGACTTATACTCGTATCAGGTACGATATTGAAACATAATTTTAATCAAATAACCACTTATATGGATTTCCGCAATATAACACCTAGTTCAGTAAAACATTAATTGGCAAAGCCAGATCTATGTGTGACGTTTTAACCGCGATTTCATCCACGTTACCGGAATAAGTTGATTAACTGATTCAATAGCAGTATATGTACTCATATATATTCCAAATACTACACACATTTGTCATGAATTTTAGTAGATACGTGTGTATCTACTAAATTTCATGACAAATTAATTGAGTTGTTTAAGCCCAGTAGCCAATTTAATTCTCACGTTCACATTTGTAATATTAGTAAGAATAATAGGTACCTATTTCATTCATAATACATAATAAAGGAGGCAATAAAATTATGTAATGATATCGAATTACCCTTACTTGCTTATAGAGGATAAGCAAGCTAAAGTAGCAATGGGCTAGTCACATAGTCAGAGAATCGACAACGTATGGGGAAGAAAAGTTCTTGAGTGGCGACCTCCACGGTACCTATACGGACAAACGCAGTATAGAATAACCCCTCCCCTGCCCCACTAGATGGAGTGACGACCTCAAATGCATTGCAAGGAGTCAGTGGATGCACATTTATATAATTATAAAAAGAATATTTAATTCCGGAATATTTCTCACCAGTTATAATAATCCGCCTGTCGTGCCAAGCGTGGCAACTACTGGCAAAACTCCCAAACGGGAGGTTTATGTTCAACAGTAGACTGATAATGGCTGAGATGATCATGATGATATGACTTACCCAGGGTACGGAAGACAATCGGCCTGCTTCTATACTTGTGACCGCCCCACAGGGCGGCCACCGTCACTTGGTACTGCGTGTCTGCCTCTAGCCCGCTCAGTATGACAGCATCAGAATTACCAGCAACCTCCAATACCACTCTGTAACTAAGGAACAATCAGTCAATTTCGTTGTAATCTATTAACAAGCCGAAGATAGAAGGAAGGCGAAGAGAAAATCTGAATACTAATCTAATAGTATAACATAAGAAAGCAAAACTGTTTTTAAAACCAGAACCAACCTAAAACCTGTTTTTACAATTGGGCATATTTAACCTCTAAAATACTTTAGTGCTCGTAATTCCATCAGATTTATTCGACAGAAAGGTTATTTTTATATGTTGTTTTTTTTCTGTTTATTTAACTTAAGTACATTAACATATTAGTAAAATAAAGACAATTTTTGTATAGCATATTAAATTCTTTTCTTTCATAGTCAGAAATGTTTAATAAACCAAGAACAATATAAAGTCGCCGATTTGAATCAAGCTCTGCAAGGCCACTACTACAAAGCGAAGTGATCAAAAGGTGCTTCAGAATTCTATCTATAGTTAAATTCTCGTAATGAAAACCGCTACGGTATCGTAGCAACTCAGTCATGGTAACCGTATTTTCGCCCTTGAACGGTAACAATTCTATAAAGTGGTTTAATTGTAATGTTATGGAATTGTTTATTTATTAAATATATATAATACAATAATTTATATATTAATATAATTATATAATTTATTAATATATTTTTATACATATTATTTTAGCAAAATACAAAATAACTGGAAAATTTTTTCTTGTTTCTCGATTCAATTGACAAGTAATACGTCAATATGAACTTTGAATGGGATTTAGATAGAAAGGATTCTCAACTTTAATGGTTTGTATTTTTAACAATCAAGTTAGAAACTAACTTTCTAGAATTTCATTATGGATAAAGTTTATAATGATATCCTATAATAAGCTCTGTTAAAAAAAATAATAAATTTATGACCAATGGTAATTTATACATAAAATTTTATGTTAACTTTTTATATTACCAAAAACTAAAACATAAATATATCGAAAAAAAGAACAATTGTATTTGTACCAATAGCACTACGCAATAATAGGTATGTATGTACATGTACTTAACATAATCCATTTCTTAAAACTAGTATTAATATTTACTACTAGGGTCCCATAATTTTATTCTTTTCATACACAAAAATATATATTAAAGCCATCTAATTACTTATGATTTTTAGTATATACATTATAAATAAAAAAATATTTTACTATGTAACGATTCTTTAATTATATCCCTTGATAATCCCATCATTGACTACGGCGATGCGTGTTCTCATATCTCATATCATCATCATCGTCTTAGCCATTATCCGTCCACTGTTGAACATAGGCCTCCCCATAGACATAAGGAACAGTCCTGAGCCACCTGCATCCACCGACTCCCTGCAATACATTTGAAGTCGTCACTCCATCTAGTGGTGGTGGTGGGTCGTCTTACTCTACGCCAGCCTGTACAGAGTCGCCACTCAAGAACCTTTTCATATTAATAAATTCTTTGTAATTTATTAAATAAACATAAAGTAAATAAATATATTAGTACAATTTATTTGTAAAAGTTGACAAACAAAACTGTGTACTCAAATTAAAGATATCCGATGCCTATAATAAACACCCAAAGTAATACAACTGTCAAAAGAAAATAACATTAGCATTTTTTCTAAGCAAATTTGTCGGAAACTTACTTCCGACGGCCGTCCCGCCTGTTCCGTTCGCAATTTGTACTTTAAGCCTTACTTTTTTTCTATTGTACGCCTTTCACTGTTTAAACGACGTTTTGTTAGTGATTCGTTTTGATGCGAACTGTTACAAAGGTGGGGTTATTTACGGAATGCAAGCAGGTAATGGACTTATTGTGAAAGCATACAAATGGAAAATGTACACGCTACAGAATGTTCGAGAGATGTAAAAACAGATTAAATATTTCTTTGTTGTATTACTGTAGTGGTGGCTAGCAATACGCAAAAGAATATAAAAATACATACAAGGTAACATAATCTCACAACTATTCTGCATAAAGAGTATATTAGCTTAGTATTAGAAGTCTGGTCACGGAGATTACTATAAGACTTTATCCCCAGTTTTCTTAGTCTTGCACTGGTGTTGCTTTAATATATTTGTTTGCAGTAATAACTCTTTTACAATTATATAATATATTTTAAACATAAAATAATTCGAAAGACCAAAATACTCTTCACATTATTGACGAGTACATTTTGATTACAGATGTTACATTTTTCATTAAAAGTAAATGGGAGGATAAGAGGAGCACTAACAAGTTCGTCTTAAATATAAATATAATTATAATAATTATATATCATATATACGTAGATAATAATAATAATATATTTATTTTAAGAAAGATACAGTTGCATAAGGTACAATTTACAATTTTTACAATTTATATACAACGAGGAAATATCTGCATTACCATCAGTCCCCAAACTAGGCCAGACCTGTATCGTGTAGATAGGTATTATATATATGATAATACAAATATAAATTTTTTTAATCCCTTGTTCCCTTAGTCGCTGCTTACGATATCCTGGGCATACTCGTATAAGAGATACGACATATTGTATTCCAACTTCGTCACCACATGGATAAAGTTATAGAACTATCTTTAGATGCTAATATGAAAAGGCGAATAGGAGTTTGTTTCATTTTGGCGTCATGAAATTTATTATACATATAGTGTTTGCGATGGTGAAGTACATGCTACTTTTTATGCCAGTCAATCAATATATTCCGGTGACATGGATTGAGTAACGATTAGGAACTAATAAAAAAGTATGTAATAAAAAATATCGCAAAAACTCAACTTTCATTCAACAAAGATTTTAAAATAAATTTAGTTTCAAATAATTCATTCATTCAATTCACCGGTCTTGCTATCTTATTATAACAATGTAATCCACATTTCAATCATTCATTGTCTACTGCTGAATGTAAGCCGCTTTCACAGTCTACAGCAAGGACGGTCTAGAGATATCTGCGTTCATCTACTCTCGACCCAATCTCCGAAACCATAAAGCTGACTAGTTTACTATTTTCATCCAATATTGCACAATATCATACTATCAAAGTATAGAATCATAATCTATATAAATCTATCAATTTCTGAAGTTTTACGCACTTTTACTACCAATAAAAACTTTTACAGTGGACGTTTTTACAATTTACTCTAGCATGGCACGGCGTGGCATAACTTTATCGTCACGATACAATAGAAGAACAAAATGTATGCAATTTTAAGAAAATTATTTTAATTTTATTGAAGAGTATTGTAAAATTAAAAGTTTTTTTTTACGTTTTATGCTGTCTACGTCCACAAATCCTAAAATTGAAACTATTACATTCAAATTATGTTATTTCAAATATATTTGTTTACAAGCACTTTTAAATCGTCATTTTTTTAATCTACTGCGGAATTCTAAAGGTTGGTATCTGTTGGGAAGAGCCGGCAAGAAACTCAACAGTTAGTCTTTTAAATCTCTGTTAACATATATACGAGTATATTATAAATTTACATATATTTATTTAAATGTGCAATGTCTAAAATTACATGGTCTTTTTATCAATCAGTTATCTTTATGAGTTTAACGAGTATATAACACTAGCGACACGCACCGGGTTTTTATTAAATAAAATTTTTAATAAGTATATTAAGATCGAATAAATACTTTTTTAAGTTTATCGGTTATAAACAATAAATTTAACTTTCCCTTTTATAATCTCGTAGCATATAGATACTTTTCTACGGTATGGTCATGATAAAATAATATCGCACCTTACCGTTATCCGGTAAATTATAAAAGCATTTTATTAAGAATTAAATAATTTTTTTACTTAACAACTATAAAAAAGGGGAGATTTTGAATTCTACGATATTTTTATGTATAAATTTCGCTATAAATTTGCCAGTTCTAAATTAATAATGTGGTTCACTCCGATCCCATATTAATATTATTAGCTTTAAAGTAAGTAATAAATTTAATATGTTATGTCATTAGTTAATATTGTAATTATTTATTATAAAATGAAATCATAAATTACCTAAAATTCACCGTAATATATTTATAAAATTATTTACATTTTAATGATACTTATCTAGTAAATAAATTCACAGTTGACATCAATTCTTTCAATTTTATATCACATTACCCCTCTCTAGAGAGAGCAATGAGCGATGTTTGTGCCTAGAACCTAATTCAAACGGAGCGACGCTAGACTTATTCCCTGCTAGGTTGAATTTTAACATTCTCGGCAAAATATTCACAGATAAATTGCCTACAACTACATCTGGGACCACAGTTCTGAGCGAATCTTTTTTTATATGATTACTAGCTGTAAACCGGCGAAATTGTTAGTTTGAAACAAAATAAGGTATCCTTTATGTTAATTTAAGACACGGTTTATCTATGTACAAATTCTAATAATAATAATAATAATAATAAGCCTTCCAAAGTCCAACCCCGCGTCCGAGCTCACCATCTAGCTCACGTGGAAGGCGGTCACGCGTATAAATAAAACCTACGCGGCTAAAGGGGCAATGGCAAAAATAAAGATGGTGAATAATTATAATGGAGACAGTATAGGGTCGCTGCCCGGGGGTCGCCGGGGCGCGTCTACAACTGGCGGTAGGCGCGGCAGAATGCGAGCCAGCCGACCGGCCCCACCACCTGGCCGGTCCGACCCCTCGCCATCGACATCAGCTGGCTTGGCGCCGGCAGGGCCGTCACAGGCCCAGCAATCGGTGCCCGCCACTGGTGGTACACGTCGCATGAGGTGGACAAGAGCCATGAATGAGGACCTCATGCGTGCGTTCTTCAGGGCTACAGGGACAGAAACAGGCAGAACAGGATACCGGGCAGTAATGCACCGCGAGTTTCTGCGTCTTTTACCGGATGCCGTATGGAAAGAGAAGGAGTTGCACGGAAGGTTCTTCAAAGCCCTTCACGGGCCGTACGTAAACACGAAGACCTCCGTGCACTGGCTACAGTTCGGTGATCTCTTCGGAGAGACCGAGGGTTTTGTCTGTGCAATACAGG